TATAATTCTGCCTCTTTGCCAAATTTACCGAGAATTTTACTATCTCTCCTTACTTGTGGGATTGCATCATTGAAAGGTTTATTTGTCCTGAGTGGAAATAAAATTCTGTTATAAAGTAGCATTTTATTTCCTCATTAAAAAATAAAAAATGGACTCTTAAATTTGCCATCCATGGATTTTTCTTGATATCTATCTTTTCTCATTTTTCTGTAATTCAAAATTTCTGGTGTGTCTGTTGTCTATTATCTGGTTTTCTGTATTCATTCATTTATATTTGCTGCCTTTATTGAAGCACAGACCCAAGACAGATTTTTATCTATATCGTTCTCTTTCTTGATTGCATAACCATGGTTTTTCTGATTACCCATGTCTAAGATTCTCTTCTAGAACTTTCAGCTTTCATTCTTTTTTCCATCAGTGTTTTTGCTCACGATCACTTTTGTTGATGTTCTGCCTCAGCTTTGGAAGGTTAGCTCTTTGAAGACCATCATATTACATCACTTTTTTCTGTGTCACAGGCTGGGACCATCTGCTGTTCACACTGAATGCAGCAGAGCTCTGCTGGGACAGTGGTTGTCATCTTACCTGACACAGAGATATCTCCACCAAGCAGGCTCTGCATGAGACATCTTTGAGATGTCAAGCCATTCCTGTGGCACTGTAGAAGTGGCCCCAGTCTGTTCCTGTCCAGCTCATTTTTGTCATGTACCTAGATTTATCTCCTGCTTCTCAGTTTCAGGACTCTGCCAAGGCTGGTGGCTGAATCTGCTTCTGTGGGCTGAAGTCTTCTTTTGCCATGGCACCTCTCTGTTGCGCACACACACACACACACCCCTCCCCCCGCTTTCTCCCATGGAGCAGTGAGACACTGAATATATCCACTCTGTTGCTTTTGGAGCAGTGGTTATGTTCTGTTGCAAGCTTGTTACTAATGTCTAGAGTGAGAGTTTTCAGCCCAGACAGATCCTGCTCCTGGCAGCAAGTTTAGCCTTTCGCTCAGATTAATTATTCCCTGCCCTAGTTTCATCCCCTCTCTTCTCATGGTAGGCAGTGGCTCCTCCCCTCCTGGCGTCCACATACTTCAAATATTTGCAGCTGGTTTGTTTTGTCCTGAGTCACTACTTGACTCTGCTGAGCTGTGAGCCTGGGGCTGGGCTCGCCTTGCAGGTGGGTGCAGCTGTTGGAGATTTGTGCTGGTGCAAGAGGTTGTCCTCAGCGCTGATGGGCATCACATTCCCCTTCAGATTGTGTTAGCAGCCTGGGTGCCCTGTGAGGATGTGCTGTGCCACGGGGGATGCTGGCAGGTGAGCCCTGAGGAGGAGTTTGGGGGGCAATGCAGCCCTTTGGGTGAGCCCCCCAACCCATGACATGATGGGCATGTATCCCATTGAATCTGGACTTTATGGGTCAACTCTGCTTCCAGAGTAGAGCAGGGAGAAAACCTCTAAATGCATGCATGCTACTGCTAGGAGGTTGGGTAGTAAGAATTACAAGTTTTCATTAATTGGAAGAAAATCAGTGAAAGTGGTGTTTCTGGGACCAACAGATGAACTGTGTGATTGCAATATTAAGTCTTGGCCTCCAGGGGAAAGGCAGAGGCGGGAGTGTGCTCCATCTTGATACTTTGCTGCCAGGGGCTGGGTTACAAGTCAGTGTTGAATCTCCCATGCATCAGCAGGCAATCTAGCAAAGCTCAAAAGCAGGCGCTCCTGGGAAGCTGTTGCAGACCACCAAACCAATCCAGAGAGCCAAGGACTTGTCACAAATATGCTATGTGGGATAGAGAAAACAGTGTTGTTAGAGGTTTTAATTTAGAGAGGCAGATTGCAGTGCTCATGCAACCTATGAGAGAACAAAATTTGAGTCTCTAAAAATTGTGATTGAGAGCATTGGTTTTGGAAATGCATTTCTGAATGGCATCTGTGTCATGGGTAAACACGAATTTGTCACCAGATTGGAATCTGGTGGCTTCATTAGAAATACCAGCTGCATTCCTTCAGGCTAATGGAGCCCCTTCCAGCTGTGGTGTAAGTTTTAGTGCTTCCAAAGTTGATGGGCATGATGACTCAGATTGAAAGGTAACATTTAAATAGAAAATCTGTGAAGTAAAATGGAGATCTGTTTAAAAAGCATTTACTAGATGACCAAAACCCAGGGCTATGAAATGAGTGGGTTTAGTTAAATGATTACTAGGTCTTATTTAGGAAAAGCTGCTTTGTCACACAAGAATGTGTGACAAACAGGAAAAAATAAATTGATGGCAATCAACAGAGATGGTATGAAATACAAACAGTGAGAGTTTTTAGATGCATCAGAAACAAACCCTAAGTATCAAACATATTGGATCAGGTAGAAGAGCCAAAAAAATTCTGTATATTAATTTTTTGAACTGCAAGTGTTTGGGAAGAGGCAGGATGACTTTTGAGTTAATTGCTGAAGAAGGATGCTGGACTAGTGATAAACAGCAAGAGTCCCAGGAGACTTGGCTGCAGCATAGCCTTGTTTTTAAACAAATCTTGAAATATTCCAAAAGAGCAAGAAGGCAGAAGAGAATTAATCTGTGTAAGTTTTCAAAATAATGCAAACACTGATACAGTATAAGTGGGTAGAACTGTTGGTCAGCATTGTGCCAGGTTAAGCAAACTGAGCTGATAACTACTATGAGCTTAAAACCTGTGCAGGAAAGGTTTTAATTTCCCTTCCATAGACAGGGATTTGAGTCTCACAGAGGAAGGGTACAGTGGAGCTGGCAGTCTCACAAGTGTCATTCGAAGCCTTGCCGCAGGTCAGTCTCTGAAAGGGCTTGACCTAGATTTACTTGCCTGGGGTTTGCTTCGTGGAGCATGGGGAGTTGCTGTGTTAGCCAGCAACGCTGGGCATCCCCGGCTCTGTTTCAGTGAGCTGGAGAGGCAGGCACATCGTGTGGCTGCAATTTATCTATGGCTAAAGCTGGGAGCACAACAGGATTGTTTGGTGGTATGGTAAACTCCCAAGATGTCCTGTATAAAGCTTCTTCTGGTGGTATTTTGCGCTGGGGATAAATGCAAAATCCTATTCTTTGACCAAAGCAAATGTAATCTTTTCCATTTGTCTTCCAAAGTGCTGCTGTGTGGGTCACTTCTGTCTGTTCTGGCTGGTTTTCATTTTCAAGATTCTTCCCAGGCCACCCCATGCTGCAGTATCAGCTCACCCGCCCACCTCACCTGGGTTTCACACACCTGTTTGCATTTCAGATTAACACCTTCCTGCTTTTTCCATGTTGCACTCCCACTTGAGCTTGCTCTCATGCAAAACAAATGCCATTCCTTAAAAAAAAAAAAATAAATCCTTCTTTAAAATAACTCATTTGTTGTTACTTTCTTAACTCTTTGAGCTGTGGAAACCTGCTGGCTGTATTATCTTGGTGTTCCTTTGTCCCTTCCATGCATTTTTCTGTCTTGTGTCCCATTCAGGTTCCAGGTGTCTCAGGCAGGGTATCCCTTTTGGGTGTTTGTAAAGGTCCTTGCACGACAGGGCCTGGTCTGCTACTGAGGCTTTGGAGATGCTGTGGAAATGCAAAGAGCAATTGTTGAACCCAGCAGCTGCTCCCAGGCCCTCCTTGGGGACTCCTGCTGCATTTGAGGTCAGGGAGGTAGAAGTGCCTGTCCTGCAAAAATATTTTCACAAATGTCTGAGCTGGGGCATGTCCACAACTAATAAAATCCCGTTGAGAGCAGCTGGGGATCTGTGGGAGATGACTGGAGTGGATGGCTATCTGTCAAATCAGCAATTGGCCTTAAATCAGGTACCTGAGGCAGGCTGGGGTGCTGTAAGGGCATCGGGGGTGCTGCTGGACTCCACTTCGCAAAGCAGCCATAAAATGGGGGAAACCTGAGTGTTTCTGGGCCAGACCCTACCTTAGAGGGGTGTCACTGGGAGGTGCTGGAGAGGGACTTTTCTGAACTTGGAAAGGTGGGGGTGGAGGGTGTGTGTAGTGTTGCTGCGTTTCTGGCCAGAGGGCACATGCTTTTAAAAGCAGGCGGGTGGGGTAGAAAGTGGCTAGGGGAAGGAATCTGCTGGGGGATAAAATGTCTCAATGAAAACCGGAGGGGGCTGGGCCGGCCTGGGAGCCTCAGGTGGGACAGAAAACCAGGAGGAAAGCCGGCTGGCGGGGGCCTAGGACAGGGAAGAGGAGGGTGGCCGGCAGCCTGCGCGCCCCCAGGCCCTGCAGGCAGCGCAGCCGTGCTGCCGGTGCTGTGCCCTCGGCACCCTGCCGGGGTAGGGCCAGGAGGCTGCCGGGGGAGAGAGTAGCCCGGGCACGCAGCAGGTCCCTGGGCTGTGCTGGTGGCTTGGGGGTCTCCC